TTTAACAATTTCAGTGCTATCTTTATTCAGTATATTTTCTATAACTTTTCAGTAACCAAGTATCGCTTTCCTGCTGTACATAAATTACATAAACTACTCAGTCTATCACCAAAATCACAATTTGTAAGAGCTGTGACTTCTTTATAAACCTTTCTTAACTGGACTACAATTTGTTTTACATGTGTGCCTTGTATTGGTTACAAATCAGTCCCAACAATAATATCAAAACACCAGCTGATCTAGAACGTTAAATACTTAAAGCAGCTCAGGTGTTACTTAACACGGGATTAACTCAGTTTGTAGTTTTACATCAATCGATCAATCTAAACTACGTGTCCCTGGAGGCACCAGAAACACGACATGACATCTTTACGTTTACAACGGATAATGCGCTATAATTACAGTCACATTTATAGTATGGCGCTATTAACGCGTAACTCCCACAGTAAGTACTCTCTCTCTCTCTCTCATGCACACACTCTCTAACAGGTTGCTCAAGAGCCGATTCTCGCAAGCTGCACGTCAGACGCGCGCGCACACACCTGCGCTTGGTTAAAAGCAGCCGCATCATGACGCGTGCGGATGGAAAAAGGATTGAGGTCCGTGAATCAGGTAACACACACACACACACACACACACAAAAAAAAAAAGCCGCCGATATATGTGCGCCCCCACACTCGCCCAATCCCATCCGATGCAGCGGCGGGCAACTGACCTACCTAACTTTACTTATTTACAATGAATAATCCTTTTCCAGTCAACGTCACCTGCTGTTTGCTGTTACACTAATTAGAAACGGATTCAGCCAACATACCCAACGTAAGGAAAGACAAAGACCTTATGACAACATTTAGCTGTACAGCTGCCAGTTTGCTTCCTATGGCTCCTAAATGTCTCATCACTCCTCAATACGTTTGCCAACTCCACTTAGCTCCGTTTGCTTGCATTAAATGCATAGCTGAATTTTCAAACCTCTCGAGCTAGCAAGCAATATAAAGTCCGCTAGTAAAGCTAGCTATGACTCCCTTTACACGCATTAACTACGTACGAACTCCCTAGCTAGATATGACTTAACGCTAGCGAGAAAAATTACACCGTGAAACGCCATGCATACGATATTTCAAATGGTTAATGCAAGCTATTCCCTTGGCTACAACTACCTGACTATGACGCAAAAAAAAAAAAATCAGTAGCTAGCAGTCAGGCACACCATAGATCACTCAACAGCCAAGGCTGAAAAGCACATGCTCAAATCCAATACAAATCAATGTCAAGCTACCTAGCAACACCAGCTAGCTCGCCATTGTTCTCGTATACAGGAACTAATTTCTGCAGATGCACGTTGCCAAGTTGACAACTTCGGTCCCTCAAGACGCTGGGAACGTTTTCGACCAAAATGTCCATTATTGCGCATTTTTCCGTTAACACGGATTCTTCTCCGCATTCTGGATACAGCCTGTGGCTGGAAATACTAAACCAGCCCTTGCTTGGCAAATGAAAACGTCTGGGGAATGTCAACAAATAAATGCCTGAGGTTCATGAAACGATTGAACGCTAAAGAATTTTGGGAACAGTCAACGTAATGTTAATCACCCCAAGAGCAGCATACCTGAGGCCGCTTTCACACTGGACGCGAAACGAATTTTTCGCACGACAGATTACATTGTAAGTCAATGCAAAGACACAAATACACTCGTTTCGCGTGTATTCGCGTCTTTGCATTGACTTTCAATGTAATCTGTCGTGCGACAAATTCGTATCGCGTCCGGTGTGAAAGAAGCTCTACACACACATCAACATTCTGCTAAATAGACACCTACCGAGTGTCTGGATTGTGGAAACATCATGTCAGTTTCTTATTGTGTATTCCTTTGTAACCAAGACCAAGGGGTTAAGCCTTTTAGAAACGTCTTGTCTCTTTGTTTCCTCCGCTCAAAAATAAACGAAATCTTGCAATTCAGAGAAATATTTCGTCCGTTTACAGTCCCAGATCATGAACCACGGGAGACAGTGACCAAATTGCAGTCCTTTCTTCACTTGATCGCTCGTATTCAGCTTAGCGTTGCTCTGATTTCTTTCTAGATCAGATAACGTTACCTGGTTAGATAATCCGCTCGTTGCCAACCTTTAACTGGCCAAGTAGCTCGTTGGGCACGTAACCTTAGTTTTGCGCTAACGTCAGCCAACTAGGTAGTTTGCTCTTTGTGTAAACAAGTCCGCAAATATAGCTGGACTTATTCAGGCGCAAGATATTTTAGTCGACAGACGGGCCAAGATGGATAGGAAGCAATATCTTTGCCGATTGAGCGAATCAAGCCTCTTCGATATTAATATGAACTTCGCTAGCTAGAGCAAACAGCACGCCAACATTAGCGAGCTGGGCGAATAAACCTGGTGCTCCTCGTCAGCACTCCCTCTTCCAGTGGTAAACTAGCAATCCAGAAGCTAGCAGGCTAAGCGATATTTAGCGAGCGATGGAGTAGATTCTTTCCAATGTATTTTTTGCCCAATTAACGAAGCTCGAATCGCCAGGCTGACGAGATAAGATTACTGCTCCAGCTGAGCAATTCGGTGGCTTTCCTTTGGAGCAGATCCGTTTTTTTTTTTTTTTTAAAAGGTATTCTTTCCCTGCGTTAATTCCTGGAACGCAATTGGTACATACAAGGTTTTCACAGGGCGACCATTTCTCGCCGCTGTTCTACAAAATGTACGAGACGTCGAGGAACGAGAGCGCGCCCCATGTGATGTGGGAATGAGGTGGCGCACTGAAGGCCCATTTTAGATGTCAAATGTATAAAATTACAGTTTGCGGAAGTGTCGCTGTTTAATGTGCCCCCAGTGGAAGGTGAATCTGGCGGTGCACAGCCTGTTCTGTTCTTCCCCGCATTAATGTGCCTGTGGAGGGGGCGGGTCTGGCCGCTGATATAACTTAGGCGGACCTAATAATTTATTCTCTTTTGCCCACATGAAGAAAATATGAAACTTGTGAACATTATGTGACTACTTAAGCATTCCTGTTATCTTTCAAAACTAGTGCTTGCCCAAAAGATACTTTTTCCCACAGTCTGGGTTTAATTTGCATGGAGAGTGTGTGTGTGTGTGTGTGCTGAATTTCGTTTTACAATTCCAAGTTTTGCCAGGCAGGGCAAACTTCGTGTAATTTATTTTTTACGCCAGTTGGGCTTCTTTTAAATTTTGTTTTGATTCCAAATGCAAAGTTTGCGTATGAATGCAGCCTCCGTTTAAAATGGCTTTACATAAAAATAGGATCGTCATAAATCCAAAGTGACAGACTGAATGGAAATCCCAGCCTTCATTGGATTATATGATATGCAGGCGGCCGAAGTGCATCCACCGGTAGCATTTCATCCTCATATTCAGTGTCAATTTAATTAAGATCTTCGGAATAGAAGATCCCAGCAACTGTGTAGATCAGTAGTCCTCTCTTCTCGCTCTGAAGAGCCGCTGGCTCTGCCGTTTTTAAAAAAATTTTAATTGTCGCCCTTATATCAGCAATGAATTTGGACGCTAGTAACCAAGTGCGGCGAGTTAAGTGGACTGATATACCGGGTCAATTAAAAGCAGAGTAATATCAAGAACCACCAGATACGGTGGCTCCCCGGGACAAGGAATGAAGATGGCGTAGCCTACATCGTCATGACCATCACGAATGTAACAAATTCTTTGAAAACTACATATCACTTAGGGACGCGAGAAATAAACATTCTTCGTGGCTAATACTCTGTTGACTACGAGATCTGCATGTCACGAGCCCCATTTTAGTCAAGCATCTGTCTAGTCATGCTAGCCATAGCTAACGGGATTCTCTCTCCACAGACTGCAATCACAAACTGTAAAATTATAGGAATTCAGGAGGAGACTTTTCCCCTGAAGATTTCTGTAGAATTCCAAAATTGCAGATGATTATAGCAGAATCTGTGCCCTGAAGCACACATATAATTTGCTCCATGTATGTGCAGATATTTAAAACAAAACTGAAGTGCTGTAAGAAGTTTAGTTTTAATAGTGCCCTAGTTATGCCTTTTTGTTAGGCTTGCCAATGTTAATGCTTATGGAATTGTTCTGGCACTGTTTTAGACTAAATTATTGAAAATCTCTGGGTTATATTAGACCATAAGCCATCATTCTGTTCATGAAGTGGATGCGTTAAATGTGGGGGAATATGGGTTTGCGAAATTATGGCCAGAGGACTGGGTTGGAGCATCTCCAAATTCTCAAGGCTTGTGAAGTGCTCTTGATCCGCAGTGGCGAGTATCGACTGACAGTGGTCCGAGCAGGAATAAAGTACGCACTGACGACTGGTTGTTGGGCACCCAAGGCACATCAATGCCTAAGGGAAAGGAAGGATAATGCTCTGGGAGTGACATTCTGGATAATGCCCTGCTGGGAAACTCTAGATTTTGGCATTCATTTTGACCTCAGTTTGTCACATTTTGCTTACCTACACATCATTACAGGCCAGGCACATCCCTTCATGGCAACAGCTTTTCCCAACAGTAGAGCCTCTTTTAGCTGGTTCTTGTACCTTATCATACTGCCCAAATTGTTCAGGAGTGGTTTGCGGAACAGGAATGAGTCTCTCCGAAATTCCCCAGATTTCGATCCAATCAAGCATCTGTGGTATGCGCTGAAGCAGCAAGTCAGATCCAGAGTTGCTCCATCTTGCAACTTACACAAGACCTTTGCTGAAGTCTTGATGCCAGATATCATAGGACACTGTCTGAAGTGTCCCAGAGTCCAGGCCTCAGGGGGCCAGAGCAGTTTTGGCAGTGTGCAGAGGATCAAAAGAGGAATAGGCATGTGGTCATAATGTCATGGCTCCTGAGTGAATACTTTAGAGGGAGCCTAATTGCATCCACCCACAATGTGCCAGTAGCTCCCGCAGCATAACTGCACAATTGATTTCAACCAGATATATTCAGATCAATTTTAGAACACATCAATGCCATGTAATGTAAAATTTTACTAAAACTTTAGAAGCGTGATGCTCTAGTGGTTAGTGGAAGGGATTCTGGGTCATCTGGCCTGGGTTCGAGTCCCAGACCAGGCAATCACGTTGTGTCCTTAGGCAAGACACTTTATTCTCAGTGCCTCTCTTCACCCCGGTGTATAAATGGGTACCAGCATTGCTGGGGTAAAGTTGGGATAGGAGAAGCACCCACCCCTACCGTTGTGGCAGAAGCTTAGAAAAAGCAGCCGTTTGGTTGCCTTCAACTTCGGTTGACAAGCTTTACTTACTCACCAAAACTCGTCAAAATTTTGGGTCCAGTAAAACCAAAGCTATTTAAGTTTTAAACTAATTTAAAAAAAAAAAGTTAATTTTGCAACTTGATTCATAAATTCTTCGTCCAACTCTCTTTTAGATCTTGAAAGTCATCTTCCGTTCGTCGTCAGCGTGGTCTTATCCTGCCATGCCCCCAGCTGGTGAAAAATGGAATTACACAACTCATTCAGGAATTCCTTCCATTCACTCTCAACCATGGACTGAATATACAGCCCATGCTCTCAACTGTGGTATTCTCGTGGTAAGGAAAAAAGGACACTTAAAAGCAAGCCAATAAAATGAAAGAATACATTTGCATCGACAAATCTGAAGAGGAAATAAAAAGACTCAGTCACCAAGTTATAGGAACAAATTTTATTCCAATTTAAAACAGATATTTTTTTTTTTCATCATTTTTGTTTTTAGGAGAAGGATATGAAATCATTTTCATGTTTCAATGAGGTTCAGGCAACAGTGGTTGAAATGAACAGATACAAAAAAGAAAACATGGCTAAAAATACTGTAAATTGACAACCAATAAGACCCTTTTGTTGGGAGGGTTCTGCATTGATACATTTTTTGGAATCCCCCCTCTTTCATCTCCCCTTTACACACCCACCAAAACAATACATGCAGTTAAAACAAGCTCTTTGAAAAACAGCAGTTTTCTCCTCAAACTTCTTTAATATAGAATAGAGTCCTTTCCATTCATTTTCTCTCTTTATATCACATATTTAGTGTTTTGTTTTAAAAACTGGACCAGTAACTAGATGGGCCCATTCAATGATTTTTCACAACATTGGCACTTGCAAAAAGTCTATATTGACAAAGGATGGGAATTGGCACACTCTTTATGATACATCATTTACACTTGGTGTAGTTAACAAAAAATACAAATACTTTCATTTTTGTACACCACCGCACATTTTTTCAATCGATTTCATTGAAGAAGGGGTTAAAAAAAAAGACCTCCAATTCATCAAGTGGTCCTAAATACAAGTGTTCTAGCAATGTATTAACAATAAAAAAAGCTTCCAAAAATTATCTGCATCCATTGCTTCAGTGTGGCATCTCAAGCAAAGAAAATGTGAGATTCACAATCCATCTAATAGTGTCTCACCTACAAATGTGCTTTAGTTACATTAATGTACAGCTCCCGTCAAGTCTCAGCTATCTGACTGCTACAGAGGCAGGTCAATTGCGTTCACTTTTTGGGAAAATTTTACTCGGGGAAAGCTTAGGAATAAAAATCAACGTACGAGGTAAAGCTAATATTCCAATTTCCTCCTTATGGAACAGTTTAGTACTGCAAAGCGCAAAAAAAAAAAAAAAAAGGCGCTTAATATAGGGGTTTATTCCCAAGTACCGATTGCTGGAAAAAATATACATTTTATTCCCTTAGACTCCTCCAGCCAAGAAAATAACAGTGGCCAAACAGACTGCAAAAAAATGGCCTTAACGTACCTTGAGAGCGAACTACTATACTTCTATCTCTGATAAAACTAGAACCTTGTTTAGGCAGATAGAAGGAGACCATTCTAAAGATCTCATATCACCATGCCCAGAACTTGGGGCTTTTTAGCACTGGCAATAGTGCATGATAGGATTTGCTCCTCAACAAACTTCTTTTAGTACAATGTACAAGTCATTAGACACACACACACACACACACACACACAAAAATGTCTTCTATCCATTCATTTGTGGCACAAAAAACTGGCTGTAGTGTTTCAATGTAACTGGCTACGGTTAAGCATCAATGAAAATGGTGCTGGCTTTAGTGCTTTGAATTCGGCCGGGAACAAAAACCTTAAACGGGAGCGACCTTAAGGCGGAGACGCAACTTTTAAACTCCCGCAGTTATTCACATTTCATTGGCGATATTGACAGACAGTTGTTCCATTTCGTCTGGAATGTAACTGGGGAGTTAAGATGGCGGAGTGAGAAGAAGCAACTTTGCAGGCTCTGAAAAATGTTTTTTATTTAGTCCTGGAACTGTGAACCTTGTCGTGCAATAACGCAGTTTTAAATTATTTTTTAGCTTAGTGTCAGCGTACTTCGGTAAATCAAGAAGAATTCTTTTAGTTTTTCTGCCTTTTTTCTGAGAAGTGCCCGCTAACATGATGGATCATGACTATGACCTGAAAGCTCTTCGTGAAGCTTGTGACGATGGCAACATCGCAGATATTGAAGTGGACGAGAAAACCGCTAAAGAACAAAAGGTAAACATGGCTTACACGCCAATGAAAGGTCCAAACCCTAAAAAAATGAAATCGAGTAATAGTCTAGATGAGGAAAGCACTGGAGAAGCGATTCTCCATGCAATACGAACTTTGACCTTAAAAATGGACGGGCAGACGGCATGATGGCGATGACATTTGGAAGGAATCCAAGGATGCAAGAGTGTGTAGCCAAATGCTCATTCGGTTTAAAGAGGACTTTTCTAGGAGGACCGGGAGGCTCGTGCAAAATTGTGGCCGCTCATTCATGAAGCAAGGAAGAGGGGAAAGAGAGCGTTCCTGAAGGAAGGTTTTGCATTGATTGACAATAGAAGAGTTGACCCTGAATGAAAGGTCCTTTTTTTCTTGTTTTCTCTCACTCTACCTGGGATGATGATAAGTACTTATCAGCTATTTTTTTATGTTGTAAGACTGCAAAAGGCACGATTATGGTTTTGTTTAAAACACACCAATGGTTATTGCTCTATTTAGTTATGGTTAGGACTACAGTGTCTCATCCCTGCGCATCGTTAGAATCCTTCAGCGCATTTATTTCCAAATCTTCTAAAGACAATTGTTCAATATTGTCCTTTTTATCTTTAAATACTAGGGGGTTAAAAGAAAATGTAAAACGCAAAGCAATTTTTCTTTGCTGTAAGGAGCAAAAAGTTAATTGTATTTTTTTTGCAGGAGACTCATTCAGGTGAGACAGACACTAGTTTTTGGAGGCTTCAGTGGGGAGATTCTGTTTACTTCAGGCATGGAACATTGCACTCAGCTGGCGTGAAGATTTTGTTAAATAGGTTCCCTGGTAACATAATTGATCATAAAAGTGATACAGATGGTCATTGGGTGATGGAGGTGTCGGATATAAATGGGGCAATCTACGTTATGTTATGCGTATATGGATATAACAAAAAAGCTCACAACAAAAAATTTCTCTCATGTTTAAGTAAATCGATAGAGGAATGGAAAATGTTTTACACAACTCAAAATGTCATAATGGGAGGAGATTTTAATTTGGCTACTGAGCTACGGTTGGACCGTCTCCCTTCAAGGGGACAATTCTATAATTATGATATTATAGCTGAACTGGTCACAAAAGCTAACTTAACTGATTTCTGGAGAATGAAAAATCAAAACACTAAGCAGAATACATGGTTTAATCCAGCTAATAATGGTCAGTGCTCAAGGATAGATTGGCTAATCTCAAACAACTAGGTCAATGATGTTTTTAGGTGTGAAATCTCCTGTTCACCCTTGACTGATCATTATGTAGTTTCATTGTCCTTTTCATGGAACAAAACCCTGTTTAAATGTAATCCAATATAGAAATTTAACAATCTTCTGGAAAATATAGATTTTTGTAATAAGGTAATACAATTGATTGTAGAAATTTATAATTTGGAAATGTATATATTTAGTAAATGGGAGTTGTTTAAATTTAAGGTTTGACAGATTGCAATTAAAATAAGTAAACATTCTTGTAAATTAAAAGAGCAGAAACAACAAGATATCACTTGAGAGATTAACAAACTGTTGTAAACACGAATCATCATTCAAAGATTATGAAAATTTAGCTAACCTTCAATCTCAACTGGACCATTTGTACTTGGCAAAAGGTGCATTTATTCGTTCGAGGGCTCGGTGGATTGAGGAAGGGGAAAAAATTCCTCGTATTTCTTTTGTCTATAGAAACAAAGGCAAACTAAAAAGAAAATTCAGAAACTGAGTGTCAATGGTGCCCTTATTGATAATCAAGAACAACTAAATGATGAGATACAAAGTTTCTATAGTAATTTGAATAAATCAAACTTTTCTGAAGAAAATTGCACTTTGCTTTTCAATAAAATTAAGGAATTTAATAAGACAATAGATGGCGAGTTTCGGCAATTTACGGAGGATGGGCTTAAAATTGAGGAACTAGACAAAGCAATCCTAAAAATGTCTCAGGGCAAGTCACCAGGACTGGACGTCTAACCATGGAATTTTACCTTTTTTTTTTTTGGAAAGATATCAGAGAGTTGATCTGTAATGCCTTCTTAAGAGTGCATCTTAACAAATTATCTTTCTCCAACTATGAAACAGGGTCTTATCACTCTTATCCCAAAACACAACAAGGACACACTTTTATGAGATAATTGGAGGCTGATAACCTTGTAAGGAAATGATTATAAGCTATTGGAAGATGTTTTTCACACACGATATTTCTCCTCATACATTAACCTTATAGAACAATAGAGTGATATCAGTTAATAAAAGGTCACTATTCAAGAGTAATTGGTTTGAAAAAGACATTTTGTTTGTTAATGACTTGCTCGATTGCAATAGTAATGTTTTAGAATATAATGTCTTCTTAGATAAATATAAAGTGTACGTATAATGAATACTTTAAAATTTGTAAAGCAATCCCCTTATTGCTGATTCAGTTCATTCAAAACACCTTAAAATATTCAAATGTTAAATCATTATTACTGAAACTAGTGATTAATGATTGTGAACTGAATGATATTAAGTGTAATAACAAATCAAAGATATTTAATGGTCTTAATAGAGGTTTATATGTAC